ACCAAAAAAAAAAACCAAAAAAAAAATAAACAAAAAACAAAATAGCAACACTAAGGATCGACAATTCGACATTAACATATAAATTTAGCGTTGCTATTTTGTTTTTTGCTATTTCTCTGTTACAAAAAACTGTGCTTCGGAGTCAGACTTGGATATAAATTAATTTTCTTTTTATACAAAATAAGTAAGTTTGGATTATTTAATGTCTATATCATTCACTTTAAGTCCTAATTGATATCTTCCTACTTTTATTCTACAAGTACTTACCATAAAATATTTTAAGTTTTCTTTTCTTACTTTATCATATATTAAATGTCATTTTTTTATTTAATTCATTCATCAATTATTATAAATGTTTATTTTTATTGTTTTTAAAAGGTTTTATTTTATTTTGTTGTATGATATATCAAATTTTTTATCTTTCACCGATTTTCAATTTGACATCAATAGTATATATACAGAATATAAAACAGTGATATAGTCTTATAAACACAATCTAAAATTAATCCTAGATTAAAATATATCAAATAAAATTACATTTAATCTTATAAAGCAATACAAATTTGTGTTTATTAACATACTATAATATAGCTATTTTATTTAGAAAAAATTAAATAAACTAAGTATGAAAATCAAACTAGTATAAAAAAATATTCTAAAAGTTCATATCTCGAAATAAATAAAACTACACAGAAACATTATGATCGCGGAAAAGAAAGTTTATAACAAATTATAAAATAATATTCTATTTCAAAAAGTTTAAAATATTACACTCATACACATTATATTTTAAATTCTCGAACATTATAAAGTTGAAGATATTTTTAAAATATCAAATCAGGGAGGAAAATTGTATAAATATAAAGTATAATGACAATATAATCAAACTTGAAAATAAAAATTCAAAAAATTAATTACTGAGCTGTATGTGTGTGTGTGTAGTTAAGAAAATTATCATTTTAACAATTTGAGTACAAAATAAGAGTATTATTCTAAATAATTGTTTTTGTTATTTTTTAGTTATTAGTTGTATGTTTAATTTTTTATCATTCTACTATAATAATATATATTTCTTCACCTCTTTATTTTAATACAAATGTTTTACTTTCAAGAACCGTGATATTCACGGGTGTTATTAATTGTCGAATAAATTAATTACTCTATTTAATTTTGACAAAAATAACTATATATTAATTAAAATAAATAATCTTCATAAAAATCTTTTATATGATTCGAAATAATATTAATTTTGTATTATTCAATTTGAGTTTTTTTTTTATTCACAATGAGAATTTTATTTTATTTTTATGTAGGACTATTTTTTTCTTATAAAATGAACGAAGGTTTCACGAAAATTCATTTCTACATATAAAGCCCCAATTAATCTATCTTCTTCTACAAACACAACTCCCAACACTCGCCGACCTCTCCACCGTAGCTGGCAACCCTAACCCCAATCGTCCTCGCCCAAAAATGCGGCCGAAGTTTAATTCCTCTTTGGTGGTCGACATCTTTGTCCGCATCACCGGCGACGAAGTCGACGATGCGTCCTCCCTCGTGCCCAATATCAACTCGTTCGGCCTTAGTGCTTTACTGACGGTAGACCGCAAAGCAGATGTGGTTGTCGGCTACTCTGTCGTGTGTGTGGAGGAGAAGGACATGGAGGAGGGATTGTTTCCAGTGAAGAGCGTGGACGAGGCCATCGAGATTCTGCTCGCTCGGAGGCCGAATAAATTGCTGGAGTTGATGAGGTTGTCGTTCTGTGATCCGGCCAAGGACTTGTCGTATTGCTCTCTATCGAATTTTATTGATGTGAGTCTGGAATATACAGAGTAAAAAATGCTATCTTCATTCGTT